AGTCAGAATGGGTGCAGAGAGGTGTGAAATGAAACTTCCAACGAATGGAGAAAATTTAAAAGAACAGTAGTCTGTCATTAAGAGAAGGAACAATATTTAACAAAATGTCCTTCCAATAAAGCAATTTATCTGTCTTCAAATATATATACAATAAAAGCAGTGTGCTTCACTTATAAACACTTTAATACAAGTCTTTTAGTTACTAAATTCACTGAAATTTAAGGTACTTTCAAACTTTCATAATGACAATTAGTTTTTCTGTATCTGTTGTCATGTCTATAACTTCTCTATGACAAGAATCAAATGGGCAGGGCTATCAAACTTGGTCCCACATAGCCATGTTACCTGTAATCTGAAAGATCAGCCAAAAGCAGGTCTGAAAAGGTAGTATAGCCAATATTCAAAATCATCCTCATTGCTGGGTGAAGAATGTGCAGATTCTCTTTGATCTCGTTTCGGCTTTTTTGAACACTTTTGTGCCAGGGTCTGGAGAAATTAAGACCTCTGTGAAAAAAAAACAATCGTACACACGTGATTATGAATTCATCACAACAGATACAATCAAATTAATTGTTCATAACTTACTGTATATCATTAATAATAGTTTGTATTATTCATGGTTTGTATTGCATTTTATTGCTTCCTGCATGCGCTGCTTTGAATGCTCTTTGTGAATTTTACCATCTCATGAAATCTTATGCACCATATATACTAAATGCAACCTGTGCTACACTGATATATGTCCCACATTCAAGCACAGTTAAGTGAAAAAAAAATATATCTAAACAGAAACATCACTTAATAATCAACAAATACTTTAGAGTCAAAGCATGATCCAGAGTAAACAGACATAGTAAGGAGAAAGTATTTTGCCACAGTAAGGTTTTTTGCCTAAGTGAGATTGAAATTACAAACTTATTCTTAAACATTACTCCGTGTTTAGTTTAGTGAACTCACCTTGGCAACCGCATCCTCAGATCAGAAGCGTCAGTTGTATGTCCAGTACCATCAGGCTTCACAAGGACACTGTTCACTAAATGACACAAAAATACAACTAAGTAGGGCTCACAGTGCAAAACGTACAAGCAAACCGAAAGCTTACGCAGGGCAGATTTTACTCAGAAGGGGAAATCTCTGATTTTTGTAACTGTTATCCCATGGTTTTGTTTAAAGAAGAAGAAAGCAATGTTTTTGCTGAACGGGTTAAATGACACATCACATCAGGTGTGGCGATCGTGCTTACCCGTGTGTTTCACCATGCCAGACTGGAAGTTGGCACTGACCTCCTGGCACAGCTCGTCCAGCAGCTCCTGCCTGCCAGGGCCCTGGCGCAGCTGGGCAGGCACCCTGGTCAGCATGGCATCCAGCCACCGCTGCTGGATTGGAACAATGGGGCTGCTCTCCACACACTGCTTCAGGAACATGTAGTTCATCTGGCCCAGAAACACACAGCACCAACACACTCGTGACACAGCTCCTTTCTGATTGATTATGACACGACAACACACTCCTTCACATGAGAAGCCAGGCTGGGGTCATCCTTTTAGCACAGCTGCTCCTCAGAGGCTGCAGTAATGTGGAAAGTACCAAACCCCGACTCCTGATGAAACGGGAAGTTTAGCATAGCCAATCAACCTACTGTATCACCATGTCTCTAGGAGGGAGGAGGAAGTTAGAGTACCTGCAATAAACCCACATGAACACAGAGAATACACACTAACCTCCCCAACAGCCCAGAATTAGATATCAGGCACTAGAGAACTCACCACCTCATGACCCATGTCAATTTAACACTAACAAGATACGACAATCCATTTTAGGGAGGTGAGAGTTCAATATTGGAATTGTATGCATTTATTCTCATTTCTGCACCACCACACGAACAAAATAAAAATGAAAGAAAAGTCGTGGAGAAAAATGTCACAACTATATGCTGTAAACCGGCACATTCCCAAAGAATAAATGAACAATACACTTACTCTTCGTTTTCTCTGCTCACTGTTCATCTGTAAAAAATAAATAATGTGTTTTATTCTGACAAAAGAAGCTTCTCAAAAAACAAGTGAAAAGAAAAACCTTAAGAAGGAAATATGAAATGTGAATGTTGGGATTAATTAACCTTATAAAATGATATTTTTGCCTCTCAGAAAAACAGACAACACCCTACTGCACATAACAGCTTTGTCGTCTATTCATGATGTGAAAAAGGCAAGTGAAATGGGCATTACTATTAAGGCTCTATAATGATCCTTGTTTACTGTTAGAACAAACACAAAATTACAGCTACTGTAGTAGTTTCAACAGTGCAGGCAGATTGACACTACTGCCTCCAATCATGATGATGTAACTACAATACCAGAACGCATTATTTCAAAACTGGAAAAGATCACTAGAACACAATAATAACCTTTATTTCCACAGTAAAAGGGTGGTTTTATGAATAACCCCTTCCATAATTTATTTTGTACAGAAAAAGTTGTAATTAAGTATTAGTGTAGTGTCCAGAAACAGTGCTACAGTATATAAGGAATTATTTTTATAATTAATAGTAACAGTAAGTTAGAAAGTAATGCTTATACCATTGATTGATTATATCAATGATTATTTAATCTGTATCTGAAACCTTAAAGTATAAAGAGACCATGAATTTATGTTAGCTGATATTCAGCATTCTCTTAGAAAACTTTGTGCTTATTTATACCGTAGATGGAAGTTCAGGCTCTGGAGGAGTTGGAGTCCTTTTTTTCTGTGTTTCCACTGCTTCCTCGTATGCCTTCATAGCACTGTCCATCCTGAGGGTAAAATGATTTTTGCCATATTTAATATGCATGATAAATTCTGTCTGATAAACTGCTTCACATGATACAAAATCTCCTTATGAAAAGGCCATTGATTTTATTATTGTCAGTCTTGTCAGGAACGACTCCTTCCAGGAGAAACACTTTCACAGCGCAATTCAAACAGAATGGGTTAAAGGTTTATGAAAGAGTCTTGTCCGTAGCAATGAATACTGGTCTATACTAGAAATATTTCCTACAATGGAAATAACTGAGTACCCACCACAGATCTTTACTGACACTCACCAGAAAATGGCAAAAACCCATCCATTTACAGAAAATAATACTTGCTTATGCTTGATAAGTGTTGCAGCAACTAGGCAACATTAAGTGCAAGGAAGGACTAGACCTTAGATTGTACACCATTCTGACGCAGGGCAAAACTATTTTTTAGTATGTATTACCATTTCCAGTGGAATCTAGCAGAAAGCAACTGTTCTGTAGAGCTGATCTGAGAAACCCTTATCAGAAAGCAACGGATGAGAATAAAGGTTGCTGGAGCTGAATAGTATAGGCGCAAAGTAGAGACACGTCCAGGACAGGATGCCAGTAAGGCATCCACATAAGCACGCTGGGACAATTTAAAGACATCTGAATTTGGACAAGACATTTAAAGATGCTGGGGTGGCTGGTGGCGCAGTGGTTAGCGATGCTGGGGCCCTGTGTTCACACACAGGTTTCCCGTGTCTGTGCTGTTTCTTCTCACAGTCCAATGACATGCTGGTAGGTTCATTGGCTTCTGGGAAAACTGGCATGAATGTGTGTGCCTGTGTGTGCCCTGCGATGGACTGGTGTCCCATCCAGGGTGGGTCAGGCTTGGCACCCGTTGCTGGCCAGGATAGGCTCTGGCTCCACCCTTGACTGGATTAAGCAGTTAGAAAATGGATGGATGGATGGATGGATGGATTTAAAGACATCTTGAGAGGCCGGAGAAAACCGGAGCACAGGTAGAACTCCCAGCTTTCAATGAAACCCAGAATCCCAAGGTTGTGAGCAAGCAGTTTTAACTTCCACACCACCATGTCTCCCACATGTGAGCGGAGTCCCACTTCAATACACTTTCCTCTACATCAGTAGGGACGTTCTGTGATGGTGACACACTGAAACCTACACTATGTGGTTCAGCATTTGGCGCTGGTGCTTGCTTCGGTGGTACTTCATCAACTTGATCTGCACGGCCATTCTGCTGTCCTCCCCTCCACTGCTCTCGTCCTGCACCTCCCTCTCAGCCGCAGCGCTGGGAGATGGGATGGGCGGCAGTACACTGTAATTCTTCAGTCTCTCTCCCACAGGGGGCTTTGGTAACCCCTGTGGAGTAGGCATCTGAGATCCAGAGAAAGGAAGAAACAGCCTATTTCATTTCACATATCTGAGTTTAAGAGATATGCACAGGGCACGAGAACATTAAGATACAAGAACAGACCTAAAAACACAGGACGCCATAAAAACATGCCTGTTTCTTGACAGGATATTTTTTGGTCAAGGTTGTAGCAGCAACGTAGTGCACGCTATACTGTATGATTCCATAACAGTTATCCATCTTTTTTTAACGTTTCATCCTGATTTACGACTAGAACACAAAGGGTTACGTGATCGTATGAAGATGCAAAATACTAATCAACTTTTATTTTACACTATGAATCCACATTTTCCTCTCGGCTGTCCTTTTCTTTTGAAAACTGGAAATATATATATATATTTTTAAGGTACTTTTTCCCTATTTCCAATAAATCACAAACCCTTAAGCGAAATCTAAAAAAATCATTAAACGGAAGTTAGGGTTTAAGATAATCGCACGTACAATTTTTAGCATTGGGTCTAAAAACTTTTTGCGCCCGTTCATTTAACGCCTTACTTCAAAGTATTCGGTGTTGTGCAGCGATTTCTTGACTTCTCCAGTCCGCTCTCCTGGCACTGATAGTAAACATCTGCGTTACCATGGGAACGGCGGAGCTGCCGTGGGTGCGCTTCCGCAGCAGAAAAGGAAGCGGAGTTCCTCCATTACTAATGGTGTTTAATGTGGGTCTGTTTTAAACAACTGCATATTCTACGATGCATAAACGACCGTTTTGATTTACTTTCCTTCACGGCTTATTCTGAATGAAAAGGACCTCACCAAGCTTTAAACATTTCCAACTTAACTTTTACTTTTAACATTCGTGCGCACGTACACCGTGAATATAGCCCGTTGGAACTATTTTAATAAAGCATCCTCATAGAATCATGCAGAAGCTAACGATCGATTGAGCTCTGCAGAATCGATCCGTGTCTTACATCTAAAAATGTCGTTTTGGAATGACGTTCAATGTAACAAGACAGAAGGCCATATCGGACTTTTTTGTAGAAGGCAACCCCGAAGGGCCCACAGATGACTACATGACTACAGATGGTTACCATTTGAAAAACATCAGTAAGATCACCGGCATGCGAAATAGGGACCAGGACTAAGACCGGAAGGAAATTTTACTTTCACTTAAGATGTTTTTTTTCTGTATTCCATCTTGCTTAATTTTGGCTGCAGGAACAAAGTGAAATCTTTTAATCATTGACCCAATGCAAAATAAGAAAAAATGAATCCCAGATGCACATCATCTTATTAGCCCCGTCTTCATTACCTTTCTCATTCCTCTGCTTCAGCCCTGGTGCTTTGGTGAAAAGAGCAGCTACTGAACACATTTAGGTAGCTTGCAATTCTTCTAGAAGTGTCATTTGACACTCGCATGACTTAAATCATGGAGATAAAAGCTCCAGCAGGCAGGAGCTAAACAAAGAGGGACCGCTGAAACCTTCAGCTAGATTAGGGCCGAGTCATGTTGGTGGAACTCTTTCTAGACAAGAATGACCAACTTCTGCGACTCGGCTCACTGGTTTAAGTGGTTCTGGCCTTCGAATGAGATGTTAAGCGGGAGACCTGAATGATTACCAATGACTCCCTGGTTCCTTATAACCACCCATCAGAAGTTACCGTTGTGTTAACCCAGGTGTCCGAATTGCACTCCGGGCTTGCAAAATCTCATCCACCTAGTTATTCCTAAATCCAATTAGTGAAACGGTTTCTCAGTTCCTGACCCGACATGCGGTATAGCGAGGCTGCTAACAAATAACAGCTGCCACGTCTTATCCAAGTGTGTGCAATGCCCAGGGATGCAGTGAGCCCCCTCCTATATTTAAGGTGCTTTGGGATGAAGTACTACATAAATACAAGGAATTTAGAACTATCTAACCCGGGAAAATATGATAGTAAAAAATAAAGATAATCCAATTTGAACACGACTGACCTAAATGGTTTTTTTTTTTAAGTCTACAACAAAAAATCCCCCCCCCCACACACAAATTAGAAATGAACAAAACAAAGAAAGCCACACATTTGCCCCATGAGCTGTAAAAGTTTTATTGACATCCAGGTCCAGACAGTTTATGATCTGGGTCTCTCCTTCTTGCCTTTGTAGAGGGCCAGGAGGGAGACATTGGCGACTTTGACAACCTTGAAACGCACACCGGGGATATCACCAACGGCATGGCCCTTACGACCGAACCCTGCCACCAGAACTTCATCGTTTTCCTGGGAGGAAAAAATGGACAGATATCAGAAAAGCAGAAGAAGGGGAATAGGGATGAGGTTGGACTATGTCACAGATGAAGTGAAATACACTTTGAGCTTAAAGTGCTGTACTTCATTTTCTTTTATAGTGTGGAATTACCTCTGCACATTTTCACTAACTTATGGGACAAATGTTTAATATACCAAAGAATTACAAACTAGAACTACATAGCCCCCAGGAACTAGTGTCTAAGATACTATTTTTGTTTCCATCAGGCAGAATCGATTTATACTGCTTAGAACTAATTAGTTTTAGTGATTTCACTCCTTTGAACTTAAGATATTAAAGGGGCTTTTAAGGTTTTTTTTTTTAATGTAGACTTAAAACAAGTCATCTGTAATTTTCTGGATCAATTTCCAGGTATACGTCTACAGACGTTTCTGAAAATCTGTGTATTACCCATTTTCAAGGTAAAGAAAAAATAACCAATTGGAAGTGAAATCAGACAACACAGATTTATGAAATATGCATAACTTTGTAACACATTTAGCATTATCAAAAAATATGATCTTTCCAGTAATCCTAAAATAATTGGTATCATGAGAATATCCTTAGTATTATGCAATAGCCAATTTAGATACTTGATACTAAAATCCAGGCTCTGAACAATTAGATTGCCATCTGACTAAAACATTTCAAGAAATGAAACATTAGGAAAAAATTAATTCTAGCCTATTACGCAAAGTTCTGTACAGTTCCAGAAAGGCTGCAGCCCAGCCAGCCCTGGGACTAACCTCAATGAAGTTAAGACAGCCGTCATTGGGCACGAAGGCAGTGATCTTCTTGCCGTTCTTGATCAGCTGGACTCTGACACACTTCCTGATGGCCGAGTTGGGCTGCTTAGCCTCAACACCCCTGTGGGAGAAAAAACTCATTCATTCACTACGAAAGAAGAGCTGGGGGTCCAGGATATCAGGATACCAAACATCCAGGATATCTACTCAGCTAGATGTCTGAAGAAGGCCAAGTCCATTCTCAAGGACCCCAGTCATCTCGGTCACAAACTGTTTTCCCTCCCACCATCCAGTAAACGGTACCGAAGCATTCAGTCCAAGTCAAACAGACTACGGAACTGCTTCTACTTCCAGGCAATAAGACTGCTAAATAGCCAACCTGCAGCTCCTTTAGCAAATCACCTGTAATGGCTACATGGACAGTTTTCACTGTATTCAGCATAACTGCACTAGTTGTATATACTGCATACACCATGGACACATAGCAGCTCTACCCATATTGAGTTTAATTCAATTTCAAAAAACATAACCTCAATTTAGTGATTTTTGATTTTGTGATTCTTGTGAGCTCGAAAGAAAGACATTTCATTGCCAGCAACTACTGCTGCACGTCGTATTGTTGTGCATTTGATAAATAAACTTTTGATTTGATTTGGGTTGCAGGATGTGCAGATCTTTAAATGTAGCATCACATGAATGTGCAGAGCACACTCTCTTTTAAATTTGAAAATATCCTTTTCTTTTAATCAACGGGACACTCAAAACGCTCACTTAATCTGGAACCCCTTAGCTGTTCACAAGGCATCACCGACAACATTCGCCCATTTCAACATTATTTCAAGAACATTCCCTCAGAGGTTCAGAATCCAAACAGAATCCGCATGACAACACCGTCTCAGTGAATGTTTTAATACAGCAAGCTAGAAAGATTTACTTTATACAGAACGCAAAGGAAATCTTACACTTTCTCCAGGACGATGCCTTTAGCGTGGGAAGCCCCACCAAAGGGGTTGGCCTTCAGGGCAGTGCCCAGGTGAGCCTTTTTGTACTGCTTATCGTGCCATTTCTGCTCACGGCGGTGATTGCGCAGCTTTCTGGCTGTACGAAGACCACGACACTTGCCTGAGGAAAGGAAAGGCAAAGATTAAGTGGGCAGAATCTGATTCCAGGAGATCTAAGATTATTAATAAGAAGAGCAAATGGTACTGCAAGATGATGTAGGCCTGTATAGTCCTCTTGTGTACCTATAATCTACAACAAGAAAGCAGTCAAAATATGATAAGTATTTAATCTTCCACAATTCTTTCAAAGCACTTCATGGTGTACACATCTGACAGGAGTTATATTGCCAGGCCTCAATATTTGTCACCTTTTACTTCCTGTCTACAACTGTCAAGTTATCAAAATTCACATAACATTTATTGAGAATCTTGCTTAAAATGCTTTTACAGTGCCTCAAGTTACTTAAACAAAAGTGATTTAAGTGTTTAGTACACACCTGGAGCTTTTCATTGCAGTCCATTATCAACATCATTTCTCCATTAAAAGGTGAAACAATTCATCGCACAATACATATAAATATTTACCAGCTTTTTATAATGTTCTTCTAAGGCAACTTATGTGTTTTCCACATAAAGTGTTTTAGTGTTATGCCCAGTCCACTCCCTAGTACTTGACAACAGAGACAGACAACTTACTTCAAGTAAACCACTTCACTTGTGAATAGTCTAGAATCCAAATTACGACTGCACACCGATGTCTTAATGGATTTAAAGAACCATGAATAAAACAAATCGTACCTAAAAAGGAGTTTTATCTATTATAAATTTACTCAACACCTCTAAATTTTTGGAAATCACGTCCGCATAAGCCTTTACATCGCATGACATCAGGATATACATAAACATTCACTTTACACCAGCCCTTTTTTATAAATGCTTTTCTACAAAAAAAACACACAAGAATACAGGATTCAAATCAAACGCTCGGCTAAGCCTTTTCCTCTTACCTTGTTAACGATGCGGTTAAACGGTATAACAAGTAACAAGGAACTATTATTTTATAATAGTTAAGAAAACGCTATACTGTTAACATTTTTTTTAAATTCTTATTTCATATTCTAATTGATAAACAACTCCGAATCACGGACCGGAGTGCTAATACCTCGGCCAAATTGTGGCGCACAGGCGAATGCAGCATGGCCGCTCTCCACGTTACCCAACAAGTATGCAAGTATGCATTTAAAAAAGCGTCTCAATCACAGTAAAATACTACAAATACAATTAATATACTCTTATAAACCACTTACACGCCTTTTTATTGCCTCAGAGAGACTGAAATGCAGATAAAATGTATTTTTTCCAGCAAAATACAATACCTACCCATGTTTCTCGTCTCAGCGCCCTAGCAGGAAAGAGCGATCCCAGCAATCACCGCGACAATGGCTTTTCGGAAGACCCAATAAGGAACTTAGAAAGCGCCTATTTTTTAAGTATTGTAATGATCGTACTTTTAAAATGTACCAATCTATAAAACCTTGTCCAAAATATTTACTTATTTCAATATGAATATTCAGGGAATATTTCAGACACTTTTATTAATGTCTTTCCTGGAAATAATAGGTGTCTTCTGCACGCCTGATTGAAAAGTAATTGCTCTATGCGCATGTCTTACCGTACACTTCAGGTCATTTTGATTTGTTTCGGTGTTCTTTTTAATTTAATTATAACGGACATTTAATTATTTTTAAATGTAATAAAATAATATTATCAGATATAACTGATAATGGCAGAATATATACCCTCGAGATTGCTTTAGTAAATTACCCAACTGTATAGTTGGGTAAAAAGTAAAGTCTTATTCTATATCGTCGTCATCCAAATAATAATTAGCTAATAATAGTATTTTTCCATGACTGATATATCCTTTCCCATGAAATGTTATAAACTCAGTAAAATAAAGTGAAAATACTGTTGTTTTGTCTATGTAGTTTGCAGGTCAAACGAAAAACGTTAACATGTTACATAAAAATAAAACTTTTATTGAACAGTTGTAAATCTATTCTGTTTTTGACTGGCAAGGCAAGAAAATATTTACATGTAAAATGCCAAAATCTTTCGTTGATTAAATTATGAAAAAAGGTACTCCATATAGAGCTCCATGCACAGCAAGACACAGCAACAACCGCATCATTAAGTTTGCCGATGACACCACTATAATAGGACTGATCAGTGATGATGACAAGTCCACTTACAGGCATGAAGTTGTACAGCTGCTTAGGTGGTGTCATAGCAATAACCTGGACTTGAACATAAAGAAAACGAAAGAGCTAATAGTGGACTTTCGGAGACACAGGCCACACACTCACAGCCCACTCAGTATTGATGGAACGGAAGTGGAAACAGTCACCAGCTTTAGGTTTTTGGGAATTCACATCTCTAAAGATCTAACCTGGACTGTGAACACTGACTCTATCATGAAGAAGGCTCAGCAGCGCCTTTATTTCTTGAGGTGCCTCAAGCGATGGGGGATGCCAATACATGTGTTGGTGAACTTCTACCGCTGCACTATCGAGAGCGTCCTCACCAACGGGATCACCGTGTGGTATGGCAACACCTCTTCGCGAGAAAGAAAGGCACTGCAGAGAATGGTCAATATGGCCCAGAAGATCATCGGCTGCGGTCTCACCGAGATTAAACAGCTCTATGAGGACCGCTGCCGTGGTAGAATTCTGGCCATCATAGAGGACATTTACCACCCCGGGCATGAGCTCTTCACCCCACTGCCCTCAGGCAAGAGATATAAGAGCATACGGACACTTACCACTAGATTCTTCAATAGCTTCTATCCACAAGCAGTGAGACTGGCGAACACATTTAGCCATCCCCCTCGGACCACACCTACACCATCACCATCTACCTCATTGTAATTTATTTATTGTACGTCTCCAGTCATTGTTTACACGTCTGTATTGTTTACATTCAAACTGTCTGCATGTTTACTTGCACATGGTCTATTGTTTGTTTGTACATTGTCTTGATGCACTGTTTGCAATTTGTTTTGTTTTTTTTACACTTGTTTTACAATCGAGAGACTTTCTGTAAGTAAGAATTCCATTGTACCAGCACCGGTTACATATGGCAATAAAGTTCAAGTCAAGTCAAGTCATTTGTCATAACAAGGGCAATGATGTGATTCCTATTAGAACTTGACATATTTTAATACTAGAGCCCCAAAGGCACTACTGTACATCAAGAGAACGCAGTATTGCAGCATCTTTACTTTTCAGTACATGTAGCACATAGAAAAGGTTCAATATGTCACAACATAGTGTTCCAAAACAAATGGAAAAAGTGGAAAACCAGTTGTGGCATTTTTAAAATTAAATTTACTAATATTAAAAGACACCATCATTTACCTTTGAACAATTAGAGTTTTAAAAATCATTTATTACTCAGGGGGCACTTCTGTACATTCCTGAGGTACCATCTAAAAAAAGCAGAACATGGATGATGAAACAGGTTGAAAGTAAAGTGGCAGAGGAAATCTATTTTTACAGTATATGCTTGCCTCCAGTTTATGGGGTAATCCTAGTGCTTTTTTTTAGTGTAATTGAAGTGTCTGTAGAAAGAATGAAGAGGATCATAATGCGTGGGTAACAGGTTTCTGCTTATGCTGTTGATCTTTTTTTTTTTTTCAGATTTGCTGCAGTGATGCGTGTTAACGGCCTCCAACACATCTGCTAATGAACTGCCCTGAAGTGTTTCCATTTCAGTGACACCCCCATTACTGACACCACTCATCCCACAGAGATTATTCTGATCTCGCTTAATACCACTATGGACCAAGGCTACAAACCCCAAATATCACAATTTAAAACGAATGAGCATTTTAAGATTTTAATGATTTTTGTTGCTTTTATTATAAATATCAGTATTCATGCGAGCATATGCTGACTACCACTATGAATAATCTCAAATTATATGAACACTGTACTTACAGCACCTACAGAATGACTGTAGAATGGCATTCATCCTTCTGACTCACACATGGTTTCTGGAACATTAAGCAGACTGAGACACAGCTCCGTATATGGGACACTAATCACACGAAGAGCTGCCCCCAACAATGTTGCTACCCTGTTCTACAGCTAAGTGGTATAGAGCAATCACTGTTAAACAAAAGATGGGCATTCTTATGTTCTTGCGGTTGGGTGCAACAAAAATGTACACAGTGGAGATCAGCACCCATAACCCTTAAATGTAGAGCTTTAACCCCTAATATCATCCATCTATGTAAGCCTCTGACAGCCTTAAAAGTGATCAGCACTACATTCTGCAGTGATGAATAAAGATAATAAAGGCAGGTTTAGAATCCCGATTTTCTTTCTGAAAAATGGAAAATGACTTCTATACTTCTATATAGACTTCTATAATGACTTCTATAATCTTTAATCAAGGTTTACAATGTAAATTAATTATAGTTCAAAAGGGAATTGTTTTCAGGAGAAAGATTGTGGTTGTGTATGTGAGAGGAGTTCAAAGGTGCTGTAGAATACTTTGGTATGATTTGGTATGTCTCACATTTGTGGTATTGAGACACACATTTTGCAGTGCTTTGAAATGTGCAATGCTGTTGTGCATTTAAAGGCGTGGAAAAGCAGTGTTTGGAGAATGTAAGTCCCTCAGTCTTGTTTTGCAACATTTTCATTCCACTTCATTAGACAATCTTGTTCCACTTATAGCTTTTCCGTGGGTAACACACATATCTCTAGTGAATTAATTTCAATTATTGAGCCAGTGTAGTGAGAATGTAGGTCACATTACCATATTTTTATTTCTCTCTCTGAAAATGTCAAATGCCTGCTTCAGCCTAGCTGAAGAATTCAATTGGTTACTGTGCCATTATAGGTGCCCTTCATTTAAAAAGAGGGTTGTGTGAGGAAGGTGAAACGGAGCGAAGCAGTATTTTCAGGGTTGGCCAAAAGCCATGTTCGTGTGTGTGTGTGTGGGTGAGTGTGACTGTGATACATGATTATCCTGTCTCTCCTGTTTCTATTGGCTGCTGGCTGTGTCAGTCGGCGAGCTCAGGTTTAGGCTATATTATCAGAGCAGATTATGAAGCAGCCTTCATCTGTGGCAGTTTCATCTGGTCGTCTCCATGGAAAAACACCAGACACTTATGATATTTCTTTTAATATTATTTGTTTTTCTACAGCTATCACAGTCATATGATCAGGTGCCTGCTTTGGTGGAAGAGAGGTAAGTGAATCCATTTGTATGCTAACTGCAGGAAACAGTAGGGGATTTTACATCATTCAAATTACAATGTCTTTTGCATTCTCTTGCACATTTTAATGCTTTAAACCATATTTGCAAAGTGGAAAGCCAAAGCCTAGTTATTGCACTGAGTTTTCTTCACTTATGCAATTTCGGAGATTGTTCTTTTTTTAGTTTAAACTTTTAAACTAATTTGAATGAAAAACTGAAAAGTGAAACCTTCTTCTTTACATTGGCTTTTATTTGACCGGTTCTGTGTCTCCCCCTTAGCTTTCCTACAGAATTCCAAACCCTTATTGTCATTGTGTAATTCTTCTGTCTTCTCTCATTGTGTGCCTTTTGTCTCTCACCATATAGTGCTTTGAGAGGCCACTTTTAAAGGCGTGATATAAAATAAAAGTTTTATATAATTGTTAAATAGATGAGAGAAATACAATGTTTGTGGGAATCAGTTCGCAAGATAAATCCTTGTCCACTACATCATAATTGAAAGTGACACAAGCCAGAATAGTACTGAGTTGTTATCTAATGATCTTCAGGTCATTCCTATAGGTATTTAGAGACAACAAATGTGAAAACCTGTCACTATCAATGATGTCTTAGCAAGAGATCATTTCTTAATTCTTTGAGACACAATGACCCATTCCTCTGTCCTATCATGATCGACAGAAAAAAATGATGAAACGTATCATAAAAGAAACAGATGTTGTTAATCTGAATATACAATTATGATGAAATGTACGGTTAAAATGGTAGCTCTGTTACTTATGGCACACAATAGTAGGCTTAATAATAGTTAATTCTCCTTTAATTGCTATATTAGAAGATTTTTTCATGTAAAATTTAAAATCCCCTTACTGTGTAATGAATTATAGATAAAACCTTCTAATGAACTTGATGAAATTTACAAAAGAATGCAGGAACATGGCCTTTGGGAATTTTGTTATTTTTTGGTTTGTTTTGATTATTGTGGAGTTTATAAGACCTGATCCTTTAGGAATAGTTTCTTCCTGTGAGATAAATTGGATGATATGATTAATTACATTTGAAAATGTTAAGAGAACATTGATGTTTTTTCTGTTTTGGGTGGCCCATGATCTTCGACTATGGGCATCAAGACTGTTGGACATAATTTGATTTTTGATATGGCTGTGAAAGTTACCACTGCAGTTTGAGACAACATCCTATTAATGTACCCAATCACAACATCCATGAATGAATGGACCACTTGGTCTGCTTAGTCACCTCCACCAACAATAATATTTTCCATACCTATAGAAAATAGCTATTCTATAAACTTGTATGAACATACAGTATAGTCGACTGTCAATATAATGAAGCTTCCAAATGCCACTATGCAGGCTAATGGTCTGCAATTCTTCAACAACAAGCTTGACAACATGCATGAAGATGTTATTTCATATCAAACAGACAAATAAGTCAGGTTATTACATTCCCTATGGTCTTAGGTCTTAGTTCATACATGCACTTTTTAGTAATTAAAAAATCATTGGTTCTGGACATGTTTGTTTAAACAGAGGATGGTTACACTTAACAGCAGTGAAGAAACAAAGGTCCTAGCAAATTTGATTTCTCTTATGTACCGTTGTAAAACCTACACTGGACTACTGGACGTAAACTGGACGTAAATTACAAATTTCCAACAGAAAGAGAAAAGCAGAGAAAGATAAGTGAGGCTTCCCTTTATAAATCAGAGGGCTGCCAATAGCTTTTCAAGGTGCTGTTAAAACAGCACAAAATAGAAACGCCATCTTTCACCTAAAAAAGGCAAGTGGTATTGTAAAAAGAGTGAAAACTTCCCAAACCTTTTTCCAAACTTCCCAACCTTTTTTAAATCAAATATACATCTGTGTCTACCATTCTTTACCAAAAACTTTTTTTCAAAAGTTGGATGTTTAAATATCCACAGCATTACAGAGTCTTGCAAGCAAGAGACTTCCGTTTTATCAGCTCTGAATTCAGGTTGTGTCATCCCCACCAAAAGCAATATTTTCCAGCTTCAGACTGTTCAGACAGATAAATCTGTATTGTAATTAGTGACATACTGCCCAGAAGGTATTGTGGCTATTTAGCCTATCTGCATTAGCCCAGCACAGATGTGGCAACATGCAGGGCAGTGTGGGCATGTCATGGTTTTAATCTTGCATTATCGGATTTGGTGCAGCACCACAGCGCTAAGCAGTGGAGCAGAAGACTATGAAGACACATTTAATTCTACAGTAGCTCCATATCAGAGCATGCATGATGGATAATGAGAGGTGGGTGACTCACTCTCTTTGGGTCGTTTGATTATATAAATGCACTGTCCCTCTCTGCAGCCCGAGAGAAGGAGAGTTGCCCAGGTACTACAACAGATTCAAGCGATGCACTGAAGTGACTTCCAAGTTTTGGCATGATAACAAAAGGGAGGGATTTACCCAGAAAACAAGGATTGATTCCGAGTGTCACACACCATCGCCTCCACAGGATAGGGCTGTCTTTTCTGCAGTCTAGGTCATGCAACAATTTATGAATGGTACATACCTACAAAAAAATGCACTGGGTTTTTCCTCATTCAGTTATAAGAAAGCATCTGTAAAAGTAAAAGCAGATGCCAGGTGCATTTGTAATTATTATTACATTAATACAATAATTATTATTTTTATGAATGAATTTATCTCCACCATTTGGTTTCAGCCACAACCCTCAGGAAAGGTGTTTAAGTAGCATTTTTTTTACTATTAGAAATGTCAGAATCCATATAGTACTTATTAGACCGAGGTAGTATCTGATTCAAAAATCGCTTTTTTGTCATCTCATTTCCTGTTCAATGTGGAGCTGCTATAAGGAAACTGAGCAACCAGGCTAATATTCCTATTAAAATTCATGCAGTGCTAAATGCTTTTATTTCAGCCTAAATGTAGAGTTCAGATTCCAGACATGATCTTTAAAACCAGTACCCACTAACAGAGTAACTACAGGGCACTACAAAACACACCAAAGGAGACATCTGTATGAATAAATAAACAGTATGAATCCTGTTTATTCTCTGCATTGCCAGAGTGTTCAGCTCCATCACGTTCCACACTGACCCAGCTAGAGCCTCCTGCTCTCCAGCCACTCGGCCCCATGCACCGCAGACAGTTGGGCTGCCTGCAGACTGCTCTGGGCTCCTAAGTCAAGGAATGAGATACCAGATACTCCAGACTAATACTAATAATCAGGTCTTAGTGTCTCCTTCGCTAAGCTCATTTTATCTGGCATTATGGTGGCGATTAGATGTTTTAACGGTACGTCTTAGGATAATCCGCCACTGTTGAGGAAATCACCATGAGGTCAGGTTGGAAAACAATGTATTTTTATCATCTTTCTGTGAAGCTGCTTAATGGTGCTATAGGAATAACTTTGTGTTATTGATGCACCCAACACTAGGCAAAAGATTATTTTTTTTACCCAAATCCGTATCTTCTTAACCAGCACCGGCAATGATTATATTACTGACGTGTTATCAAAATTCAGCTAGATGGATCACATGGATAAAATTGATAACTAGGAATCTACAATGTACTTATTAGATCATGTAGCATAAATCTCAGATAAAGCATCCTGATGTCTGTGGACCACCAAGAATCACTGAATTTTCCTTTTATTTTCTTCATCTTTTAGCATCGTATGAACGGGTTTTTGCACAGCTTTATTCAGTAAACAGGTGGCTTAAATATAAACCAGCAGTTGTCAGTATCGCACCTTTTCAGGTCTATTTCTCTTCCCCATGTGCTTAGTCTTTCACTTTAAAACCTCCATGTCTGTGTTGAAACATCATGACAAGAAAACAGAAGTGGACATAAAGTCAGCAGTGTGCACTCTGAAAAAGCCCTTGTGATCTGGATTCGTGCAGATCCAGTTGCACTGTCACAGTTGTCAAAATTGTGCACTTTGGACACAAGACTATAATGAAAGTAACAAATGGAGGAGAGACATTTCAGCTCTTATTACTCAATTGCTTGTTGTCATCTCTATTGAAAGACTCTATGAAAAATCGTGTAGTTTGGTTCTGCATATTCACAAACGCTTGATTCTCCATTTTTCTATTCTGAATGATCTTTCTCTTGTTCTGGCCCGGGCACTGATCTTGAAGCAGGCACTGGTAGTTGACATGGTGTCTTAAACAAAACAATCACGAAAGTTTCTAAAGTATTGAAGTGTAGTGGAATCTATCCTGAAACATTTAGTAGAAATGTAATGTTTCCATTTCTTGTTCACAGCTCACAGGCTCCCTCATTCCACGCCATCAGTCTTAGAAATGGTGAGTTATTTCTGCTGGAACAACTTTGCAATTATTCTCTGTATAGCATAGATGCTGGAAAAGCAAAAATGCAAAGCACAAAAAAAATCACAAGTATATCCATCCATTTTCACATCCAGGTGCTTTATCCAGTACAGGGTTGCAGGGGAGTAAGAATTTACCAGGTGCAAGGCAAGGCAGGGTACACCATAGATACTGTAACGCAACTGGGGCTCAGGCGGGCACCCTTGCCGCATCTGGTCGGCCCAAAGTATAGGTGGCTCGAACCCGGGACTTCCGCATCTCTCTGCAGCGACCTAGCCCCGTGAGCTAAAGAGAGATCTCTCCACAGCCCAGTAGCTGTGGTCCTGCTATCACAGGGAAGGGCGGTGACGTCACCCGCTCTGGTACGCCGGCTCTTACACACACTGCTTGTCGGCCGTAAGCGTTACAATACGATGCCAATCCATTGCAGAGCACACATAGACACAAACACAAAAAGTTACACCAGGGCCAATTTCCCCAGAAGCCAATTAACCTACCAGTATGGTTTTGGACTATAAAAGGAAAACAGAGCACCTGGAGGAAACCCACCTGGAGCACAGGGATAATTCTAAAGTATTTATTATATAAAAATCTAAGCAAAGATATATATTTGCACATCAGTAAATGCATAAAATAAAGTAGTATATGGATGGGATCCTCTAGCAAACTGAATACAGCCAGTGTATGATTTCATGTGTTGAAATTGATAAATAAATAGCACATTAGGGCTTTTGGATTTAATTATTTTTTCAATACTTAGCTGAATTCAGAGCTGGAGAATAACTTAACTATATTTTATGGGATGGAATCAATTGCATGCAGGCAGAGTTCATTGTCCGATCATAAAAAATAAAAAGAAATAAAAGAAACTTTCTTTTTGCACTTTCAGAAGCAGTGGAAATACAGCTCAACAGTGCCTCTGCAAGTGAGAGTTACTTGCCTACAGCAGAAATCCCACCACGAAAAACCCTGCAGGTAAGACTGCTTTATTGAGCCAGTGTGACCATCTACAGAGATTCTTGTTTATTCCTGACTGGATGCAATTCATTTCACACCGTACTTTGCATCAGATAATTATAATAATACTGAACGTGAATACGATCAGAATAGTTTGTCCATTAATCACTATTTCAATGCTTGTCCATCTTATTTTATGAACCTGCAGGACTGAAACATAAACCCTGAGCTGATCCTAGATGGATCCAGTGAGCTAAACTAATTCCTTTCTCTCTCAATCCCTTTTCCCCTTTACCTACCCCCTTCCCCCCCCCTTCTCCACTCAGCCTTCAGGTTGGCAAACTCTTGCCCCTCCCAGCACAAGAAGGAAGCTTCTGCAGTCCTCAAGTTCAACCCCCTATTCCCCACTGAGTGTGGCCTTCAGTGGGAAAATCTGCATTCTCTTCAGGGCTAAGAAGCTGGTGATTAAGTACAAAAACCACACATTTGTGGATCTGACAGAGAAGACGTTTGGTCCTGATGCTACAGTGGACACCAAAGACTCCACCTGTAGCAAAGATAAAGCCATGTAAGTTAATGGCAGGATCACTTAAAGCATCTGAGGACAACCTATTTCTGTGCATGTGCTGGGTAGAGGGTGGGTGAGTTTGGGGGAGTCTGGGTCTTATGCAGGACTGTATTCTTCTTCATCCATTCAAAGAGAAGGTGCTGTACACCACAGACAGCATAATGTGAACACAATCCCAGTTGTCCCCTGGCACTTAGGCTTCAGCCATGCCCTGGGCTATGCCCAGCCATGCCCAGCACCCCTGTTTACAGGAAGGGTGCAGGAGCAGTTCAGCCTCCTCCAGGTTCTCCCTTCCCAGCTCCTTCAAGGACTCCAAGAGCTTTATGCCAATCGGTTGACCAACAAACACACCTGTTGTGAAACAAAACGACAGTAAAACCTCAGTTTAATAAATCACAAATTACATTTTTTTCAGCCCCAAAACACACTATTTTAAGAGAAACAATATGTAAACAGTATATATATATAGTATATGCTTTCTGGATCTGTTGACTTGTTTTTTAACAACTGCAATCAACACAGTCAGTGAAAATTATTCCTGTGCTCTTCACTTCATTTGTCATAAATACACTGTTTAAAATTCATTGAAATATATGAAACACAAAAAACACCCATTGAAAGCAATTGACCTACCCCTGTAGGACACTATTAACATTCCTGAAATTTATACCTCTGTAGTATTTAGTTTTACCTTGTTTTTTGTATTTTACTTGTACCTTGTACTTTCAACATTATTGTGTTTCTGATTTAACAGATAAAATCCCACTTTGGTAGATTTTGTCCCTTAAATACGAAGCCTGTCAAAGTGAAGTCTGTTAAAGTGAGGGTTTACTGTATGGAAAGGTTTTTCTTCTCTAGTACCAGCAGGGTTTACACTTCACGTGCAAACGTAGGACCACTTTATACATATCCTATCACAGGAACCAAAGAATGCACATCACAGTATACCAGAAATGAAAACAAAATTAAGTCTGGGACAAAAATTCACAAACTACCGTTTCTTATGTCAATTGATTGAAAAATTAAATCTGAAAAATGTCTATAGGTTGTTTTTTTAAAGCATACAGACTTTTCTATTAATTGGAATGTGTTCTGAACACATCTCTGTTCTTTACACATGAATTGAGAGAAAATCTACGTTCTAATAAATCCTGTACAAATGCATAACAAACACTTTTTTATGTCGAAACAGACCAACAAGCATGTAAAATGTGAGAATGTTGCCGTCTAAAACCCTTAGTAACAGCAACAGTCATGTCAACATTTGGCACAATTACAATAGTGAAAGACAAGATAAGTCATTAAACTATCAATTGCTCTCAGACAAACACAACTACTGAAAACTACAATATATAGCATCCTATGTAACTACAATATATGCTCTCTCGCTGTGTATTAGATGTTAATATTTGTAAGTAGTTAAATATAATGTCTATATGTTTTATATTATATTCACTCTGTTAACATTCATTGTACTTTTAATAATCACAATCTGAATTTTGGCTACAGACTCTCTCTGAGGTATGGTGATGTGGAAGATCTCAAAGGCCTTGTCATAAGGTATGTTTGTTGCTCTTCAATAACACACATAGTTGAATGTACTGACAGTAATGATCATTTGTGGAAGGCTTGAGTCTACAGTATGTAAAAAAAGAGACCACCTGGGATTACATATTCCATATATGAGAAAGAAACAGCATCACTGCTCAGATTAAGACATGACTTGTTTTCAAAGATTACTTTTGGATCAACACCTCGTTCTTGTCTCAATCCCAAGAAAAGCGACGTTTACTTTTCTTCCAAAAAATTTAACTGATCTTGTGTGTTGTGGAAAATAATGAACAGAGTCATTTTATTGCCCATAATGAACTCTACTGCTCTACTGCCCATGCTGGAATGGGCTTCCTTTTGACCCCCTGTCTCAAATATCCTCCCATACAGACTACAGATGTCCAACACACTCTACGAGTCAGCTGGACAGAACTGGTTCTCGCTGGACACAGTACACCTTCATTATAACTGGACACTGGATGCCACCTTCAATGCCACTGAGGTGTATGCCCCAGCCACCTATTCATACCACTGCCAGCACGTCAGCAGCCTACAGAAATACGACACCCTGCTGGTTCCCATCTCTAACAGCGACACTTCAGTACACTGGCACATCACCTTCACCGACTTCCAGGTACGCCGACAAGTTTTACCTTGACAGAGAATTGGCTTGCTCTTTATTGAAGACATGAGAGAGGATTTCAATTGAGGAATCTGTGGGAATTGTGCAGTCATGTGCTCATGTGGGTCTCCTATGGGTGCTTCAGTGTCCTCGCTCAGCCCAAAACATGCTGGAAGATTAATTAACTTCTGGGAGACATGGTGTGAGTGTGTGCATGTTTGTGTCTGCCTTGCACCTATTGCTTGCCAGAATAGGCTTGTTACCCTGTATTGGGTGAAGTGGTTAGAAAACAGATGGATGGGTTAGTTGTAGCTGTTTTTGACCTGTTTGAAGACACTGTGCGGTATATCAAAAGGTTTCCCTCTGCTGACTTGCTTGCAAACATTTTCTTCCTAAAAGGCATTCTCTTGCTCTAAATGAATCCCTCCTTGGTGACCCAGGACAAACTTATTGCTAATATAACAGCACCTATGCAGCAACACACATGAGGCAAAGCACTGGATTGATTGAGTCACAGTTTTGAAAGATTTAGGGGCACAAATGTTTTCTTCCTTTTTTTTCTTGCGCAACATTTGTGAGGGGTGGGAGGCCAGAGGGCAACTTCTGGCATCATCTGGCTGTGGTTTGTTGAACTTGTTCATCTCAAACATAAGTCTTCAGTGCTAATGGACCAGAGTTTCCCAAAATAAACAAATCACCTGTTTCGTTGACCTGTAACTTAAAAGTATCCCCAGTCTTCAGAAAGAGCAAGTGGTGATTTAGGGTTATCTATAAAACCTCTCCAGGGCCAGGGCGAGAGACCTTAAAAGAGGACATACTGTATGACCGGGCAGATGTTTTGTAACTTATTTTTCTCTTTTCTCAACACAGATCCAAGCCTTCAACGTGCAGTCGGGTGAGTTTGCGTCTGCCAGTGACTGTACCACCTTCTTCACCCCCGCCATCCTCATGGGCCTCATCACATCTCTCATCCTGCTCTTAGTGCTGGCTTACGCCCTGCACATGGTGGTGCACCTCAAGTCCATCGACCGATACGAAGAGCACAAGACTGTCTATTTCCCCCGCAGCCCCGAAACAGCCCGCACAGACAAGGACAGCTTATAGGAGGCAATACGTCTCAGTGAAGTCGCCACCGTGGCAGGCAGACCCACAGGCAAGCATGTAGCAATTGGCTACAGAGCTCCCATAGTGTTACAAAGGAAAAAGCCGAGCTGATTCGCCTGGCTGTACTTCACACAGGTATGGGTCCACAAGTTAGCATGCCCCGGAGAGCTTAGGCCAAAGTCTCCCCAGACACCATCCTCCTGGGTGCGCTAACTCAGAAATAGCTACTGGCGTGGTGCATGGAGCACAAACAGGATACGGAGACGGCCGCATGGGAGCACGCCGATCTGCAGTCGCCCTTAAGCGTGTTCCGATTGAAGAAGAGAGGTGAATAAAGCACTGCAAAGAGGTGGCTAGCACTAGGACACCGGGGGAAATTACACCAAACTCACGACAGTTGCCTAGCAACCACAGGGACGGCAGAATCTGTGCCGTCCAGTGAAGAGTGCTATCAAAGGAGCATCAAGAGGAACCATTCGAAGGCATCTTCATGCAATTCTTTCAATGTCTGTAAACTTACAAGAAACACTGAAGTATCTGTCTTTGATTAGTCCCGGGTATCATTGCTGATGTTCATCATCTTTATCATTGTAAAACTACAGAAGAGACTTCCTGTCAGGATTATATTACCTTACTGTTACAGAAGGTGTTAAAATAATATATTTTTTCATCTTCTAGCACTTTATTGTCTTATACAGATGACCACTGAACCTGATGTAGTGAAAGTAATTCACGGAAGGCTGCCTGTTAATCAGCTATTTAACACACATGTCTGACACAATTAGTGTTCAAACAAGAACATCCTTTTGCTGTTTAACCTTAATGTTTTTAGCATGCCAGTGACTCATATCAATTTAACCATCAAAAGCATTAGCACTGTGTAATTTATAGACTGGCTGACAGAGATGGAAGATTTTATGAGTTCCAAGTGCTGTATCTGAAAACTCGTTGTCAGTACATATTAACATTAGCTGTTTAATAAAACATTTAAAAATGCAAATGTCTGGGAAACTTATTATAGTATATTGCCAATATGGTACATAGCCATGTTAATACTACCTCAACAACACATAGGTATTTGGTTTTGACTAATAAAGTAACTTGAAAATGCCAAAATGTCTTCTTAGAAATTATTTTTGTACTGAAGTATTCTGTGGTAGCAATGTATTTTAGCTAACACCGTATATTGTAGATATAATAAACCTTTACAGTGACACTGTGGCGCAGTAGTTAGCATCGCTGCCTCGCAGCACAGAGTACCCAGGTTTAATGCCTGGGCTGCTATCTGCATGGAGTTTGTATGTTCCCCCTGTGTTTGCATAGGCTTCCTCTCACAGACATATTTGTAGGTTAACAGGCTTCTTCAGAAATGGTCCTGGTGTGAGTGTGTGTGTGCTTGAGGCTGTGGGTGCCCTGCAATGGACTGGCATCCTTTAACCCCCCTTGCACCCGTTGCATGCTGGACTGTGCTCCAGCTTTCCCAATGACCTGTACTGTACCTGTCTAATATGGGTAAGAGTGTTAGAAATGGCTGGATGTATTAAACCTAAAGAATGTGCAGCAGACAACATCTTTTTTTCGCTTTCTTTTGGCTCTGAAGCGTGGAATTAACATCTACTCATCCCTATTCTAAATAAGGCCAATCGCTCACTGCAGGTCACTTGCCGTGAGTAACGTTGTGACACTACTGTAGCAGGACAATGGCATCCTCATGCTGCTCATCGGACAACAGCTATCTTGCGAGGTGAGAATGTGACACTTGTGCTGTGGTGACACTTGTCAACCGTTCAGCCTCTTTTAACAGTTTTGGAATGAGCTGGGATGACTTGGGCACCCAGGTGTGGTACAGAATCTCACAAGACAGCATCTGCAGACCAGTGAATCACAGGTGGATAGCTTGTATCAGAGATCACTTTACTGGCCATATACAATTTCTTGCATTAGGAATTTGTCTTTTCGCATACCCCAGCTTGCTCTCCATGAGACACACAGGCACACAGACGGGGAGAGAGAAACTTGGAGGCAGAGCGCAGGGTCAGCCGTCTATATAACGCCCCTGGAGCAGTTGGGGTTAAGGGCCTTGCTCAGGGGCCCAACAGAGTAGGATTCCTCTGCCATCCATGGGATTTGAACCAGCAACCTTCCAGCTTCTGTCATCTCTGTACAATAATGTCTGTACAACTGCTACTAAAAAGATAGTCATTTTCCAGATAACATTCAATAATGTGAATGTATTGCACTTATATTCTATTTCACCAAACGAGATGTTGGATTTAACTGGAACATTTAAAAGCTAAATATTTATTTGTAAAAGTCCAGATTGAGGGTTTAATTTAGTTATTTGGAAGTTAAATTTTATTCATACATTTCAAATTTCTATGCATTTATTAAAGTGTTTTTCAAAAGATTCATAATGACATACACAATGAAAGGCTTGCCTGAATGGTCTAATATTTAGAACTAACAGCAGATCCTATGCCTATCCACATACAGAACTATGTGAAGATCCTAATGTTTTACTAGAACACTTGAAAACATTTTTTTTTCCCTCACTACAGTGGTATGGTTTAGGTGTGGCTTGGAATCCAGTGTCACAAAGGCATTTGCTTTCTTTCCAGCAACTGGTGATTTTTCCATCATACCTTTGAAACCAATTCAGTCATTAATTACCAGGTCATCTTTATACGCCTCTTAACATGTGACTGAAACGCTGAGAAAGATTCCAGACCCTTCTTCCAGTTCTGTGAGGCAAAGAAAAATGAAGTTGCTTTTTTAGAAAAAAATGTAGCTCTTCTTATTCATTATTTCTGGGACTCCAATACTTTTGTTGCTCTTTTAAAGTTTAGTTTCCATTTTATTTTACTTCATGTGTTTGCCTCATCTAGTCCATTCTCCACTCCTATCCTGATTCAGTGTGATATTCGCAATACAGTTTTTTGCAGTACTAAATATGAAGAAATTAATGTTAATATATTTATGGCGATGCTTATTTACAGTACAGAAAAAAACTTCACAAATATATCTGAGCATATTTATTTAAAATAATTTGAGGATTTTCACTAATTTGTATTCTTGTCACTCCAATGAACGGAATCCTTTCTGTATACTACGGGAACGACTCCAGAAATTCCCCAGGAAAGGAGACCATGGACTTACTTATTCAAAGCTGTACAATGCTGCGTATTTTGGAAACCCTGAAACCTAGTAGGAAAGCTGATATTTATATGTTTTAATATTTTGGATTGTTATTAAATTATTTACTTAATAAGGGAATATAAATAAATGATAATATGTTTCTCAATTAAAAATACTAAAATGTAAAGTAGCGATAATACAGACGGGCTTCTTCACTGGAAAGATATGAATAAAGTATAACAGGAGCATCATAACTAGGAAATAAACCCACAACCCTCCAGGATGAATTTAAAGAGCCATCGCCACTAATCCTGCTAGGTACTGCGACAAAATGTAGTACTGTCACATCACATCTTTGAAAAAAAGGCGTTTTGAAGGTTATCAAAAAGAAACAGAATAATTAACACTTTGGTACACGCGACGAAAAACAAAACAAAAAAATATCCTGTTTGAAAAAACCTTGCGTAACTTCTACATTACATATTTTGTTACACGCCTATCCGGAAAGCGTACAAAAAATAAACCTAGCCTCTTCCTCGTTGGACTTTTCATCACGAAATCAATACTCGCATTTTCGATGCACGTACAATATGCCAATTTTAAAATAAAGAAAATTAAATTAAAACGAAACTATAACTCAAGTGGATCTGCTCTTTATTAGCTGCACCAATGAACGGACGGGCCTGATTCAAGCTATGCTTTTTCTGGTGCGATCTTTTGTATCGAAACTGCTACTTTTGAAACGGTGGTAGTTTTACTGTGCTGCAGTTGTCCATGTTTCAAGTTTGATTGAGAGAGAATCCGGCGCTGATGTATAGGTGTCTAGCTTGTATTAGTCACCGTTTTTCTAAAACCTTGTCTCCTTACTGGTTTGGAACTGGGGAATCAGTCTGGGGGCCTGGAAATAGATTTGGCCGGCGGTTCTTCGGAAGGATGGAAAGAGCCGTTGTACGATGCGTACCGTGGGAGACCAAGATAACCATTTCTTTCACTCTGGACGGCAGTCAGAAGCACATGCTGAGGGATCAGACGGAAGAGCTCGGCAAAGCGCTGTCGAGAATAGCTAACAGCGTAATCAAGGGCCAAGCTAAAGAAAAAAGGTCCAAAAAGAAAAAATCGGAGCTGACAGAAGTCCAGGAACCCGTCGTAAAACTTTACTACATGGATGACTTTGTAGCAGAGGACGCGCTCAATGCAGATGCCTGGCAGGATGGAGCCGTTCTGCATGTAGGAGACAGCAGGTACAAAGTGGAAAGAAACCCTCCTGCGTTCATCACCGCAGAGCTCCCCAAATCACTCTTAGCCGGCTTCCCCGTCTGCACGAAGTTGGTGATTGAGTTTGGAGAGCTGAAGCACTGTCAGTTTACGTGGTACAAGGAGAAAGCTCCAAACGCCGAGAAAGACGGTGTGGAAAACTGCTGGATAGAGGCAGGCAATGAACGAGTATTCACGCCGTCCAATGCGGATATTGGATTAAAGCTCAAATTGAAATGCACCCCTGGGAACGGCGAAAGGTTTGGGGTTTCAAAAGAGGTAGTAACTCCGGGGCCCGTGGAAGCGGGTCCAGGTAGTTGCACTTTCGACAACAGACATCTGTACACCAACAAGGTCACGGACGAGTCAACGATCAGAGCGGTTTCCTACAATATTTTGGCGGACATATATGCGCAAACGGAACTTTCCAAAACCGTGCTGTACCCCTACTGCGCTCCATACGCCTTGGAGATCGATTACAGACAGAGTTTGATCAAGAAAGAGCTGGCCGGCTACAACGCGGACATCGTTTGCCTCCAGGAGGTTGATAAGTGCGTCTTCGCGGACAGTCTGTCACCTGCCCTCGACGCCTTCGACATGGACGGGGTGTTCAGACTAAAGGAGAAGCAACACGAGGGTTTAGCCACGTACTTCAGGAGGTCCAAGTTTGAGCTACTGAGTCAGCACGATATAACGCTGAGCGAAGCTTTGCTATCCGATCCGCTGCACCGGGAGCTGTTGGAGAGGGTATCCACCAATCCAGTCCTAAAGGAAAATGTCATACAGAGATCAACGACTCTCCAGGTAAGCGAGAGCAGCGTGACGTGCTGTAATTTGTGTTTGGGCTCGGTAATCTTACATGTCATCTCGGGAGAATCCCAACCATCAAATTATGATTGCACATCATCGTCTTGAAAGATAGTATTTTTTGAATTGTAGACAAAAGTAGGTTTCTTGGCTATTTTGCACTAAACTGTCCTGCTTCACAGTGTCAGCTCAGTAGAGTTCGCGAGAACATCAGCTTGTACGGTAATGCAGATTCAGAAAAAGGTTTTTTTTTATCTTTAGGAGTCAAATGAAATAATAGCCCTTTTAACTGAAACTGCCTGTGTTTCTATTTTGCATCACTGGGATGAGACCTGCCCATTCTGAGTACAGTCCATGTTTAAAGACGTCCTAACATGTTAAAAATGTTAGAGTTTTGACCTTGTTAATACCTGTTGGCTTGATCTGCGTTTTTGTGTTTTTATCAGCCTTGCTGGTAAATAAAAGTAGTACTTCATTAATACAGTGTTAGCAGGTGATGATAAAGTGGCTGCATGTGGCGTTTTAACCAAAGCTCGTCTCTTCTCCTTAGGTGACTGTGCTGCAGTCAGTGAAAGATGTCTCCAGAAAGCTGTGTGTTGCCAACACCCATTTGTACTGGCACCCCAAAGGTAACGTGAGTTTGAAAGATGTGCCTTTCCGTCCACCATGAGTTTCAGAGACCTTCAATTTAAGAGTGGCTCTTTACCTGCATTACAGTTAAACTCCGACAAACACCTTTTTCATTCATTTTCCAAATGTCGCACAACTGGCATGCTTGAGTAATGTCTACAGCAGCCGCAGCCCCTGGATACTTTTCACTAGAGGCAACACCATCCAAAGATTGAACGGTTTGTGAATGCCTGGAATACCTGGTGAGAAATGCCAGCAGCCATGTCACCCTGCAACTCACAACTGGCAGCCCACTGAAGTTCTGCAGGTGTGAGTCTGAGAAAAACTAAGGTTGCTGCTGCTGAAAAACTAAGGCAGCTGCTCTCCCACTGAGAGCTGGAAGAGGTATTAGTGGGGTCAGCAGGGGGCGCTCACCCTGCGGTCTATATGGGTCCTAATGCCCCAGTATAGTGACAGGGACAGTATACTGTAAAAAGGCGCTGTCTTTCAGATGAGACTTGAAACCGTGGTCCTG